CTGCTGAAAAGGAACCTGTATGCATTGCTTGATGTTTGCAGGTGATACTCTCTCAGCAAGTCTGCTGAGAAGTGTTTTCCATAGATACCAGTGTTTTGGGGTGAGGAAATAGGTGTTGCATGTTTTCTGCAAAAATTGGGGCATCAGCACTGGATAAAAAGCAGTTGGCCACTGCTAGTATTGCCAAAACCAACAACAGAATCTGTTTGGTTTCAGCTTTTCTAGTGAGCTATGGATGAAAGTGAAGACGTGCCAAAAGATTTTATCAAGCTCAAGTCTGAAAAGCTCTCTGTAGATGAAGTGTCAGAGCTGGTCATTTCACCATCCTGTGGGGCAGTGTCTCTCTTTATTGGTGAGTTTAATATGTGAGTGAGCTGGATCTCTGGGTGTGGTAATAGTGTGGTAAGTGGAACCTAGATTGTCCACACTCCAAACTCGTGCTTCTCAAATAAATAAATTCCTGGACTGAATCCAGGATGTTTAGAAAACACGTTTTGAATTATTTAGAACAAAACCATGGCAGCTGTTAAACTGTTGCACTGGGACAGAGTGGTGTGAAGCTTCCCTGCTGGTGTGGCTATCCTAGAGCTAAAGAGAACAGCAACTCTGGAAAACAGAGCTTGGGAGCTCTGCTTGGGAGCTTTTCTCCCAATCCCTTGGTCCAGCTTGTTCAAGGTGGAAGTATGATGTGGCTGTGCAAACCACAGGACCACACCTATGTGAAATCTCATGCAACTTGGATCCTGGTTGAAACAAAAGTACTTTTTTATCCTTGGGTTGGTGAAGGTCAAGGCTGGTAGCTTTGTCCTGATGCTTAACGTACATGGTCCAGATCCTGAAACCACTTTGTACTTACACCTTAGTGTTACTGTGCTGATCATTATGGAGGATCAAACATTCCAGGGGCTAATGCAATAATAGCATCTTAGCAATTACTACATAAGATGTCTCACCCTTGGGCATTATAGACTGCAGACTTGTATAATGTGTAAACTAAGCTCTTCCATGTATATTAAAGATTTCTTCTGTTAAAAGGATCTCTTTACACAGCCATGATTAGGGGAGGTTGTTTATATTTACACAGTGCTGAGATTGAATATAGCAGGAGATCCTGGGTTTTACTCTGTATTATATGTAATATATTTTTATAAATACATTTTATGTATATATGTATATATAATATGTTATATATTTACTCAGCACTTCTTGTTGCTATATCATTTTGTGTTTAGGTACCACAAGAAATAATTTTGAAGGGAAAAATGTGATTCACTTAGAATATGAAGCATATACTTCAATGGCAGAGACCGAAATAAAGAAAATCTGCAGAGATATTAGGCAGAAATGGCCATCAGTCAAACATGTTGCAGTGCACCATAGGCTTGGGTATGTATGGTCAGACCCCATCCCTTGCAAATGGAATATTAAACCTTGTCTGGTAGGCTGTGCAGGATGTAGAGCAATATTGATAAACTATAATGCAGCAGAGCTGGCTGCAGGATCAGGTTGTCACTACAGAGCTAAGTTTCTTGTCTTTTCAAAAATATGTGTGTTGGTTCTGTTTGCTGGGGTCGCCATTTAGCTTACATTATCATTGATGTTAGTGTGATGGTTTGAAAGTGGGGAGAAAGGACTGAGGTTTCATTCCAGGGAGGGAAACACTGTTGGTTTGTTTTGTCTTTTTTTAAAAAAAACAACATTAAATTGGCAGGACTTTGGTTTTATTAATCTCTCTTCTGTTGAGGTGCTGCATAATGCTTTTATTGACAGCTTTAAATAAATTATCCCATAGGGAACCTGAAAGTTTAGACTCTGGGAAGGGGAGAGACATGGTAATCAGTAGCTATGCTTGCCAGGCAACCTCCATCTTGGATGAGTGTTTTCTGTTGGGTTCAAAGCAGGGAATGCTAGTATCTGACATCCTCTGGAGCTTTCACTGTTAATCAGATCTCTCACTGAAACTAGCAGGATTTGCAGTCTGTTGCAAATGGTTGTTTCCTCTTCCCTCAGCAGAAGGAACTTAGGAGGTGATTGTAGAGGGTAGTACTAGCCTTGAGGGATAGTTTCCTTAGATTTCCTCTGTAGTCAACTGAGAGAGTGATTCCCTTGACGGCAGCTCAAAGCATTAAACTTAGATTTTTTTTTCCTGTAAACTGCTTGCCAGAGGAGTCTTACTGTAGAGGGAGGATTGGGAGGCAGCTTTTGGGACTACAACCCTTGTGCAGAGCAAAATGAAACCTTGTGCTACTTCGTTAAGTTTGGAAAACAGCACACCAAATAGGAAAAACTATGATTTGAAATTTATTAAAAAATGAAGTTTTGTTGCAAAATCTACATAGTTTGAAGTACTTAATATCTTCTTTCATAAATTCTTTCGCAAACTGAGATAACTACTTAGGTTTTCACATAAGAGTGGGCTGTTCTGACTTATTATTGTTCATTATTAAGTGAGCTTCCAGTGAGTTTCCTACACATTGCTGCATGTAAGCAATTTTCCCCTCTTAATTCCATAGACTTCATTTAAAAAAAAGAAAGAATGGAGGAAAAAAGCCTATGTCTGGTGGGCTTATTTATTCTAAAGTTTGGAATTCTCACATCTGGTACTGATTTTGGTTGTGGTTTTATTTCTTTTAAAAAGTGTGTAATCTTTTGGACATGGCTTGACACTTGCTCAGTATGAATGAGTCAGGGGACTGTGTGGCCAGAATACTGACGTGACCTGGCCACAACTTTTGGGTACTCTTGATGTTAAGCATTAGCTAAAGCTGCTGTTGTTTCTCTTCTTTCCCCAGTGGGG